ATGAGCCCCTAATAAAACGATTAAAAAAAACCCCACAAAACCAAACAACAAAAACTGACCAAAAAAAAGCAAGCTTATAAATAGTTCCAGGTCTGTTTGTGACCTTTAGGCGTGTTTTCCAGTCGAGTCTGACAGAGTACACCCCTGACCCCACAGTCTATTTTTGTTTCTCCCCGGTGTGGTGGTCAGATGGGGCAGTTCCCGCACTGTGCAGCCAGTGTTGTCCCTCGTAGCGCTAGGAGTCGGTGAGGGACCAGGGCTGCCTTCTGAGGGCGTGGATTAACCTGAGCTTCCCTCGAACTACTGTACATACTCGAGTATGAGTTTTTCCAGCACATTTTAAATGCAGTTTTTGTGGTAAAACTAGGTGCCTCGGCTGATATTTGGGCCAGCTTACACTCGAGTATATAGGTAATTCTGAACTCTACCACTTCTTCAGTAGGTACTTACTTGGGTTATCTGCTTCAACTATCACATTTGTATATTTAATACAGTAAGACCTGTGAAAGCCAGGACCAGTGTAAGGCTGAAACCTGGCAGAAAAGGAAAACTAAAATGTGTAAGACTGAGAAAAACATGGCAATCCTGTGGAGTCCCTGCACTCACGGGTTTCACTAAATTTTCTTTTGGCTTCATTTGTCTCTTCTTAGGATGATCGTTACATTTGTCCTAAATTTTTGCTCCACTTTTCCCAATGGTTTAGTTGTGCTGTGCAGTTTGATCAGGCCCCCTTTCTTTGAATCCAAATTCCCCTGTAGGTATCAGTCCCAGGGGACTGAATTCCAAGCACCCAGAACTGTTGATCACTGTAAATTTCAAGGGCAGCATGGGCAGAATCAGCTGGTAGGTAGATTACAATTCACCACACCTCTGGAGTGTAGAAGGCAAACTAGACTGAGTAATGCGGATCAAGTCCTCTCACAAGAACTTGCTCAAAGGCCTGGACTTTAGCCTGCCTTTGCCATCTGCCTCTGCTGCTCCAGCCACGTCAGTCTGTTACCTAGACAGTGTTTTCTCTCATGTGCGAATCAGAAATTAAGTAGTCCTCCTCTCAATTGCTTCTGCATTGTTTTCAGAAATTCTTCAAAGATTTCAATGTCAAATCATTGGAATCTGATCTAAGGAGATAAGTTAAAATGTGGTGTAAGGTCACCTTCTTGAGAAAATAATTATTTTCTATGTTTTAAAGCAAACAATGGTTATTTGCTGTATAACAGGTCAGTGAAATGTATATAATAATTTAGAGTGGTCAGCTCTTAACTTTCTCCCTTTTATGGGCCCTGACACCCTTCTCTACATTTTTACATGGTATCTTTTGTCTTTTTTCTCATTTTCAATCACAAAGATAGCTGACAGGTCATCGCATCTCATGTCTCTTTAGTACATGCTAGATAGAAAAGCAGTGACCTATGACCCCGTTACTGCAACCTTCGCGCGGTCTCAAATGCTCCATTCTGGATACTGAGAGGTTGAACTGGGTGGCTTCTTTTGTTGGGGCTCAATGATGAACCAGCCCTGAGTTAGACTCAAGAATCATTCAGGCAGCACAGCTTTGACCCAGAGACCTCAACCAGCAGCTGCTGGTGATGAGAGATCTGCGTGGTAATGAACGGTGTCTCTTTCTTCAGAAAAATATCACCGAAGCCTATCAGGTGAACAAGAAGTCTCTGAAGCCTGTGGTGAAGGTGATTCGGATGTCAGCCCCGGTCAAAGACGCTGTGTACAACTACAGCATTCAAACTCTGAACTCCACAGAGCTGGCCAAGAGGGAGCTGCATCGAGAGATGGCCAAGGTGAGTGAGAGGCCTCAGTGGGGCACAGTGACATACTTGTTGTCCAGACGGAGTAAAGCAGTTGCGTCATCAACGAGCTCTTTCCTCTCGGACTTCAGCTGGCTGGGGTGTCAGCCACGCGGATGAAAACTAGTCAGTCAGTGAGCCAAAGAGATCCTCAACCTACGCACAGATACACATGGGTGAACACCCTAAAAGTTCCTTAGCTGTGGTTTCACGAAAGGTGGCTGTCGCCCTCCAGATAGAATACCT